TTTCTACAAATCCAAGAAGTTAGTCAACTTTTGACTTGTCAGAGTTCAACTTGTCTTTTCCATATATCTGGTTTAGTTAAAATCTAGGAAGTCTCATTTTCTAGAGGGAGTGCTGCCCAAATTTTTGTTAATTCAGGGAGTTCGACAAAATTGAACTTTAGGAAGTCAAAGTTACTTTCAAAATCTGAACTTAGCCTTGTATAAATTTTGGAATAACACTTGTCTAGAGGGAGTGTTGCCGAAATTTCTACAAAATTAAGGAGTTAGTTAAATTCAGTCTAAAGTTGAGCTCGAGCTGTTGTTCGAGTTCATATCTGACTGAGTATTAATCTGGGAAGTCTCCCTTTCTAAAGGGAGCGCTGTCCAAATTTATACTAATTCAGAGAGCTAGATAGAATTTGATTCTCCAAAGTTATAGATTATTTCTGCTTTTATATCTAACTTAGTATAAATCTGGGAAGTCTCCCTTTCTAAAGGGAGTGCTGCCCAAATTTCTACTAATTCAGAGAGTTAGACAAATTTTGACCTTCTGGAGTTAGAGATTATTTCTGCGTTCATATTTGAGCTTATATAAATTCTGGAAAAGTATTTTTCCTACGGGAAGTGTTGCCGAAATTTTTTTAGTTTAGAGGATATAGATTATATTTTGACAGGTGGCGATTTAGGCGACCCGCCCAGAATAGAGGAGATTCCGCAGTTGGTCTACTTTTAGCTTAAGCACTGGCTTAAAAGTTGACTTAAGTTTAACTTATAAGGAAATTTTGAGTGAAGATATAATATGGAGTTGTATTTTCCATACACTTATGATCTTAGCTTGGGGATTGGTCTGCCGTGTGTTACAGGTCTTTTTTATCAGTTAATTCAAGTTCAGGATTAGATCCAGCTTGATCCCTTGAAGATCACTTTCTGTCATCACTGATAATAGGTCGGTTGCGGATTCGTCGGTTTACGATTCAACTCCAATTCACTCCTGTCACTCAACCTAAAGGCTTTAGCCCTGTGGTTTATTTGTTTTGTTGTGTTTTTACCCGGACTTTATTGAATGGTCATTTAACAAAGATACTGAGTACTTTTATTGCGGGGAAGTTGCACCGAGGTTGAGGTTTGCACGGCTAAAGCAAGGGGTGTGAGTACAGAGAATGGTTGACGTTGACCCCGTGTAGTGTGTGTGTCTCTGGTTGAATCTTTGATGTGATTGCAGGTATATTTTGAGGTTCGGACTCTGGATGTGATTGTTTGCGATTACATACATATATGGCTGAGGGGAGTCTCACTGTGACTGTGAGAAGTGATCGTCCTATGTAACCAACCCCCATATAYTTATGAGTGCCCTGAGTGATTGAGAGGCCTACTGTGATTGTGCATAAGGGTTGGTCAGACTATGTTTTGAGAAAAAGGGGAGATTCCCTTTTTACCTTTGCTTTTTAGAGTTGTATGGTTGGACATTGTAGTCCGTGGCAGGCGTAAAAGTCAAACCCCCTGACTTCCGCCCAGGCCTGGAGTGAGACTCATCTCCAGGGGAGTAAGAAACGACTGCCACCACAGGCATGGACCTGTGTACCACCCGCTCTGCACAGAGTGCAGAAGAGGGTGTGTGGTCTTCAGCTGCGCTTCGCAGTTGTCCAGCGTCGAGAGATTAACCCTTTAAGCGCGTGTCAGCCGATACTTGAGTGTCGAATGTGACCCTCGAGATTAACGAGGACCGCATGACTATGGGTACTACATAGTACGCCATCATTGCGACCGCTTGCATACGTTTGCATTACGAGTCGATATGAGTTAGCCCTGCGTCCGCGCGGTTTTATACGAAGTTCAGCACGCGACGCCTATCCGATTTCCGCATCGGAAAGTTATGGGTTGGCTACCGAGGGGATAGGAGCGTTGTCGCGTTGTTTGTGTTGTGTCGTTTCGTATATGTGTTGTTTTGTGTGTATGTGTATTCGTAAAGTGGAGTGCGCGTGGTGTGTGGGATGCGTCCTAGTCGACCGACGTTGAATCGCGCTTGGGACTTTAGCCCCCTAAACTGTTGGTTCACGTGCGGGTCTGATAGCGGCGTATTACCGTGCGTACCCCCTATGCTACAGCGAACGAGAAACGCCCTCGGCTGGTCCACCTCTGCGATTGCAGCTGATTAACTTTCGTACTATGGACTGGTAGCTCGACGGGGATACGCCCACCGAAGGGAGGTGACAGCTCCCGTAAGGTGTAGGTAAGTCGTGCCTCACGTAGGCCCTATCCTGTCGTAGGGGCTCGCGAGAGGTATGGCTGGCGTACTCGGCCGGAGCGGCTTGCGGAAGCTCTTTGTATATTTTGCGACGAAGGATTTTTAAACCTACTCCTGCGTGACGTGGCCGGGAGGGTCCCGCGCTGCCCTGGTGCGGTGCTGGACGGATGCGCTCGAAATGTGGCGCTGTTGCCGGGGATAACAGAAAGCCTACCGTTGTCCCTGGTGGAACGACATCCGGGTATGAGAAGTGAATAAGAAGAGGCATAAAGGAGTGATGAGAAGGTAATGAAGGAATATATGAATGACTAAGTATAGGTGAGGAAATTTACCTACCCAAGTAGAGGAAGTATGAGAGACGATCGTGTTAATGTTTGGGTAAAGTAAGTACTAAGGGCTAGGTAGGACGGATGGAATAGACCGGTCAAGGTATAATGTTGAATAAGGGGGTATGCTTGTTTTTTCTCTTGTCAGGAAGCTTGAAGAGAGGAGTCTGTCAAAATGTCGCAGGGCGGTGGCGCATCAGGCGCTCCCAAGAAGGGTTTGACACTCGATGACCTCATCGCTGCCATCGACCGACATGAAAGGAATCCGAGCAATATCCCAAAGGCCGATACTTTCCATTTTTGTGGGGAAAGAGTTCCGGAATGGCTGGAGCGGGTGGAACAAGCTTTGGTCGGGCGGTCGGACATTGTAAAGTTCAGCGCATCCTTCAGTATGTCCTCCACAGCTACCACCAAGAGGTGAAGAAAGTCATAGATGCAGCCCAAGGTAGCTGGGAGAGGTTCAAGGAGGGGATGCAGAGGAAATACCGCCTGGGATACGGGTTGTTGACTACCGCGGACCTTGAGGCGATGAACAAAGAGGATTTTACGATGATAGGGACCTTTGTTCAAGAATTTAAGAAGAGGGCGCGGAAGGTCCATGGGATTTCAGAGGAGGCACGGTGCGCCATCTTCCTGGGGCTACTCACGGCATCGGAAGCCGTCGAGTTGACAAGGCATGGAGGGGGTAGCACCAAGCTCACCTGGGCCACCATTGACAGAGGGGTGGAAGTGGGATGTTTGGACCAGGTGAAGCAGCGTCAGGTACGTCTGCAAAGGCAAAAGAGAAAGGAAAAAGATGCGACTGCTTCTGGGACCCCGGGGGTAACAAGGATTGTTACAGACGTATTGGCACAACTAGGGTATGCGACAGAGCCGATGGTGCAAAGGAGGGTGGTGGCGGCTGTCAAAGTGAAAGGAAAGGAGCCGGTGATAGAGGAGGCTATTCAGGAAGAGCTCTGGGAAGAGGAAGAGCCGGTGCCGCAGCACCTGACGAAGGTCCAGCACAAAGTGCGTAATTTGGCTTAGGGCGGACACGGATCAGGAAAAGCGCAGGCGCCTCAGGCCCAAGCAGCAGCCTCTTTAAATGTGGCGGCTCCATCATCTAGTACGGGCCCCTCGCAAGGAGGGGCGTCGTCCTACGGATAGTGGCCCTGACCGGTAATCAATGCAATTGTGCCATGAGGAAGCCCGCCGCCAGTAGCCGGGGCGCAAGCGAGTATGCCGCCACCCATCTACCCCGCAGCCCAGGCCCAGCCTGTGGCCCCGCCACCGTCACCCGCTCCCAGTTCACAGGGAAACATGGCTGGAGGTGGGAACCAGGGGCAGGGCAATCAAGGCAATGAGGGAGGGGTGGAGGAAGGGGGCGAGGCAGGAATGGCGGCGGAAGAGGAAGGCAGTGGAATGGTGAAGGCCAGGGGTACCTAGGCCAAGGGAATCAAGGCCAGGGGTACCAAGGCCAAGGAAATCAAGGCCAGGGGAACCAAGGCCAAGGGTACCAAGGCCAAAGGTATCAAGGCCAGGGGGATGAGGGAAGTTAGGGGTATGGAAGACCCCGTTTTGACTGGAGGACGGCCATCTACCAACATTGTGACCAACAAGGCCACACTATAAGGTTTTGCAATATAAGACGGGAAGACGAGAGAAGCGGGCTGATTTCGTCCACTATGGATGGGAACATCTACGATCAGTTTGGGAAACCCATTGACAGAAGGCTTGGAGGAGTGAGGGCGGAAGCCCAACGAAGGGCGGCAGCTGGGCCACCACCCCCTGCCATGTTCAGGCTATGGCAAGAGAAGAAAGGACCGTCGGTGGGGATAGAGGAATTCAGGTTATGGCAGGAAAAGGAAGAACCACCGATTGGGGTAGAGGAAGTGGGAAACAATGAGGAAGTGACTCAAGGGCCGCAAGGAAGAAGTAAGGGGGAAGAGCCCATAATCATCGAATCAGATGATGAGAATGAGGAAGAACGGATGGAACCTCCGTCCGTCTTATTGAGGAAGATGGAGGACCTGCTGGATAAGATGGGGAGGTACCAACAGAAGTTGGTGGGCCTCTGCAAGGAAATGAGGAAATGGAAGTCTAACATCCCCAAGGTGTTCCTCTATGACTCCGGCCCGGAGTCAGCGCCTGGGCGACCCGGAGTAAATGTGGTGGGGTCGTGCCCACAATCGGGAATAAGAGGGAGACCCCTCACTCCGCAGGCCCGGCTGGCACAGGCAGCGCGAACGAGGAATCAAGCCAAGGCCAGTGCCAGCCAAGAGCCTTCAAGGAGGGAACCCGAACCAGGGAGAAGGAAAGAGGCTGTGGAAGTAGAGGACGACGATGATGAAGAGGAAGAGGACGAGAGGCTGCGCAGAGAAGAGGATCAGAGAACGGAGCAGCGGGCGAGGAAAAAGGGAACCAGGGGAGAGGCCGAGTCAGTCATACGTGACGGACCACCCAAAAAGAAGAAATACGTGGTTCGGTTGGAAGAGGGATTTGACGTAGAGAGAGTAATTGACAGGCTGTTGGAAGGGCATAATGACCTCATRACCCTGAAGGAAATCCTAGCGTCAGCCCTGCGACTCCGCGATGAACTGAAGGGGAGATTGTCACGGCGCCTGGTGCCCAATGTCCATCTGGGTACGATCCTGCTCAAGGAGGCAAAGTGGCGGGTGTCAGGTACGAAGATGGACTGGAAGTGCGTAGCCTACGACACGGTGGATTTGATAGTGAAGGGTTCCAAGTGCGCAGCAATGGTGGACACCGGGGCGGAGATGAACATTATTCGGGAGGCCGACGCGATCAGCTTCGGGCTGGATACGGACCGTTCTGACTGCGGTATTCTGCATAGAGCCAGTTGTAAGGCAGTGTTTTGCGGGACAACCTCGAATATGCTCATCGAGGTTGGAAAGGTGAAGGTCAGGGCATGCTTCTTCATAATGCCGGACGTGGACCATGGAATCCTCTTGGGGAGGTCATTCCTAAGCAAGACGGAGACCGTGATGTTCAACAAACATAACGGGACTCTAATTCTTCTCTTATGCGATCCTGCCTGCGGGAATTACGAAATAATTACATGCAGGAACACCGGGCCAAGGAGTATAAGGAACCGGCCCAATCCAGGATCATTCACGATCGAGGAGTCGGAAGGGGAGCGCMGGAGGCTCTGGGCAGAGCCCGAAGCAGGAGAGAGGGTGGAAGCATTTTCCCTCAGCCTGTCAGATGTTGGGAAGGCCATGGACCTGGTGGCCGCGCATGAGATGGCAGATCCGGATGCCATYSYGRCCTTGAGGGAGCAAGTTCTGGAATGCCCCGAGGCAGGAAGGTTGGAGTTGGTATATCGGCTCCCAGGCAGCGAAGGGCACCCCGCATCAGCGCAAACACAATCTGTGAATCAACCTTTTTTAGGGGACGACTCAAGCAGAGTTCCGAAAGGCGGTACAAGACGGTAGACAAGAAGTGTCGCCCGGTTCCCGTCCTCGTTACAGAAGATAAGGAAGCATATTACGAGAGGGAACGAGGGTTGATACGGCGAATAAGGGAAAGTGCTTTAGTAGGGCCATGTCGTATCAGCGAAGGGAACGAGAAGGAGTTGATCATAGGGAGTCCGACTTCTTGCTGCCTGAGGAGCGAACGTTGATGGTGGAATTAATGAAGAGGAGGCATCGCGCCTATGCGTTTAGCGACGAGGAGCGTGGCAGACTGGATGTGGACAAAATACCTATGATCCGCATCCACACCGTGCCACACGAGCCTTGGAACATGAGAGGGGCGCGATATCTTAATCCTGACAAGGAAAAGAAGGTGGTGGACTACCTCGACGGCAAAATAAGTACACACGTCGCCGACTATTCTAGTGGAGCGTTTGCGTCCCCATGGTTTTGCTTTATTAAGCCTAACGGGACGCTACGATGGGTGCAAGATCTGCAGAGGTTAAAAGCGGTGACTGTGCGGGATGCTGGAGGACTGCCAAATGCGGATGCTTTGTCAGAATCCTGTGCTGGAAAACCTATAATTTCGCTTATAGACCTTTACTCAGGATATGATCAGTTTTCAGTCTACCCGCCAGACAGGTCTATGACGGCTATGCACACGCCGCGAGGATTAATCCACATGAACGTGGCCCCTCAAGGTTGGACCAACGCGGTAGCTATGATCCAACGAGCCATGATTCGGGTTATGCAGTCAGTCAACCCCCATATTACACAGCCATACATCGACGATTTGGCGGTGAAGGGGCCGGCAGTGAAGGGAAGCGACGAAGTCTCTCCAGGGGTAAGGCGCTTTGTTTGGGAGCACATCCAGGACCTCGAAAAAGTCCTGAGCCTGCTCGAGGAGCATAACCTCACGGCGAGCGGGGCAAAATCCAGACACTGTATGAGGGAAGCGACTATTTTAGGGTTCATCTGCAGCGAGAAGGGCCGGAGGCCGGATGTGAAGAAGACGGACAAGATTACTGAGTGGCCAGTTCCGTTCCACTCAATAACTGATGCCATAAGCTTCCTTGGTACATATAGATTTTGGAGGGCCTTCGTCAAGAACTTTGCCGCAAAGACTGAGCACCTGAGGAAGTTAGTCCGTCAGGATCAGGAATGGGTTTGGGATGAAGAACAAGAAGAGGTGATGGCTAAAATGAAGGAGGAATTTCGTGAAGGGAGGTTGGTGTTAGGAGCGCCAGATTATGACGCCACAGAGACGCGACCCTTCATTGTCGAAACGGATGCCGGACCGACTGCCTTAGGGGAAGTTCTAATTCAGGCAGACATGGAGGGAAAAGAAGGCCCTTGAGATTTGAGAGTCGGACTCTCTGTACGACGGAGAGGAACTACTCTCAGTTCAAGAGGGAGACCCTTGCCGTCCTCCATTGTCTGCGAATCTTCCGGAACTATATCTTCGGCAGGAGGTTTATTTTGAGAGTGGATCCGACCGCCCTGGCCTACTCTCTAAGGAATTACGTTTCGTCGGATCCGACGGTTGCCAGATGGCTGACGTACATCTAGATGTTCAATTTCGAATTGGAACGGATTCTTGGTAGTAAGAACCGGGTAGACGGGCTGAGTCGGATCAACTGGGATAAACAGAAAGGGGAGGCGGTGGAGAATACGCCCCCAGTTAATGGTTTTCTGGATCAGGAAGAAGATGTTCGTCTCCACATCAACAAGTGGTCGCCGCGAGTGCCCAGCTGTGTAGGCTATCCTATCTAGCAAGCGCCAAGTGGGTATGAACGGAGGGATGAGCTAGTCCTTAAGCTCTTTGAGGAAGAGGATCCCTGGGGCGGTAAGGATGTTCAGTGGATGATGGAATTAGCGCTGGCCAGCTCGCATAGCCTGGTGAAGGACATGAGGACCATTGAGGAAGGACCTGGCCAGGTAGAACGACATGAGGACCTGATGGGAGGAATGTATCTCCTCGTCAACACGTTATTGCAGGAAGGCCTCGATCAGTCAGGTTCGTTGGACCCGGCAGGGAATGTGGATGAGGTGCCCGAGAGCCAGGACGACGAGTTCGAGGAGGGGGAGATTAAGGAGGCTTTTCGTGCGGAGGAGTACGACGGGATCTACTTAGAGCTGGGGTTTCTTTTGTCATGTGAAATGCGGCTAAGGGATGCAAGCGATAGGGCTCAGAGGATGCTGCAGTGCTACTTAGTGCGAGACGGCCACCTTTTCGTGAGAAGAGAAATGGGGAATCCCAGGAGAGTCGTCTGCGGTAGGAATCGTCAGATCGACGTCGTAGCAGCGCTTCACGATGGCATTGCAGGAGGGCATCGAGGGGTACAAACCACGTATGCCAAGATAAGTGAGCTGTACTACTGGGATGGGATGATGGATATGATCGGGAAGTTCTGCCGATCTTGCGTACCTTGCCAGGAGAGATCCCGTTTAAGGCAAGGAGAGCCGCTGCATCCAAGGCTAGAGCGAGAGGTGGGGGTTGTAGTGCATCTCGATCTACTTTTTATGCTGCTTGGGGACCAGGGCGTTCGAGTTCAGAGCCCCTACCGAGCTCGCGACGCTCCATGTAGCAGCGGCGGGCCCAGTCGTACCTTTGGCAGTAGAAGAGGGGCTACCACCATCCAGCAGTGAGCCGGCTCAGGGCTCAGTAGAGGGTTCCATGGGCGTGCTCCTTGAGGCAGTGCATACTATGCAGGAGGAGGTGAGTTTGTTTTCACCCGAGCAGAGGATAGAGGAGCCTCTTGAGAGAGAGATGGGGATTGAGGCAGAGGGTGCCATCGAGGGCAAACTCCAGAGGATGGGCACGCCTGAGTACGGGCCAGAGGAGATTGAGGAGCAGCCCACGGCAGTGCCAACAGAGACACTCGAGAGGAGACCTCAAAGGTTGGACACGCTTGAGTACGTCCCAGCGACAGGGGATTTGAGGAGTAGACTGGGATCTTGGGCTACTGGATCAGGGTCTGGGGAATCAGTTCCTGGAATGGAGCAGCAGGAGGTCGTTAGTACCGCAGCTCCCCGATCAGAGCAGCAGGGGGTTGTTAGTACCTTGGTAGGATCTCCATCATCGCCACCTCCTCAGCCCAAGAAGAAGTAGTTCAAGAGGAAGGTTGATCAGTTATGCTTCTATTGCAAGAGAGGCGTGCATCTGGCTCTGGACTGTCTCGAGTTCCTTGAGGATAAGGCAGAAGGAAAGGTCTCAGAGGCAGGGGGTAAGATGTATGATAAACAGGGTAGGATAGTAGAGAAGTCCGCAGATGGACTTAGGGCTCAGTTATATAGGCAAAACCAGGAGGAGTTGAGGAGGTAGGGCCGGTTCTTGTCTATATAAGTGGGCGAGTGTCTTTTGAGTCATCAGCTTAGGTTCTGTGTGATACCCTCTTAGACTTAGAGGACCTACTAGTCTAGATCTGAACTCTAGTGTTCCTACTGAGTTGGGGTCTTGAGGATCAGGGTGATTTAGATGAGGTATGTACATATTTAGGTGGCCTACGCCTGACCTTAGAGAGACAGATCTGACATGTATTCTAGGGGTAGTTGTCAGTGTAGGTTTGGTGTGGCTTGAGTTGAGTGAGTTATGATATGAAGACATTTTTTTGTGTGAGACATTTTATTTCCCTGAGTGTATATTATGATGAGGTTTCTTTCAGGGACCATTCTTATATGTGACGATCACTTGTCTCTCTCACATGTGTGGTTGTGCTCTGATGAATGAGGAGTTTGTGTGGACAATGTGTGAAAAACATCTTATGTGTCATGGGTACTGTGAATATGATTATATGCAAAACTGTCTACTCCTCAATATACTTATGCGACCTGCCCACAGGTAGCTGATAAGGCAGAGTATAAGGGGAGAAAGAGCAGCCCGTCTGTGAAAGGTTGTGAGGATTTTGAAAAATTATGAGCCCTGGAGGCTCAGAATGCTTACCATGTTGATTATTGATTGCTTAAACTGTGATGAGGACCCATAAGATGGTCTCTCAATGATGTTCCGTTTTATGGTGGGGCCCCCTTGGATTTTGGAAAAGGGGGATGTTTTATGATGTTTTGTGCTGTAACGAAACCCCTCGAGACTTTGAGAGAGGGGGTGTTTGGTTTTATGATGAGACCCTCGTGACTTTTGGAAGAGGGAGTGTTTTTGTTTTGTGGCGAGACCTCTCGGGATTTTGGAAGAGGGGGTGTTTTGTTTTATGATAAGAACCCTTTGGATGTCTGGAAAAGGGGAATGGTTTATGGTTGGAAGACTCAGCCTCAGAAGTTAGCAAATTGATTTATGGCATGGCGAATTGTTTGATGGGTGATAAAGTCTGACGGAAAGGGCCACTTTTTGTTTGGAATGTTTGAGAAAGTCGCAATGAGTGCAGGGCGAGAGATGTCTCACGGTGGATGGTTGCTGGCTCTGATCAAGTCAGGGGTCACGGCCTGGTGGATTTAGCGGTGAATTTGTTTGTAAGCGTATGAAGGATGTCATGCCTATTGAGGGAGGGTTGGTAAATGTCTTCGGACCCTTGCTTATCACGCAGTGGGCCAGTGATTTTGTTTTACGACGCCCCCGTCTAACCACTAATGCTAATTATGAGACATATTGAAGAAAGGTCAAGCTAACCGAAAAGAAGTTAGTACCTCTAAGGCGTAACCCCATTCGATGGCTGCTAGCCGGCGCAACCTGGCTACGGGACCGCGTGGGTAAGAGTTTAAGGGGGGGTGCCCGCCCCAGTGAAATTACTCCGCGGGATAGTGATGGTTGAGTATTTTCGGGGGAAATCCTGATTGAGTGTTTATCAGGAGAAAACCTATCGTTGTGTAACCAACGAAGGTACTGCCGTTAAATAACGATGAGGTGGGCCGTGGTCCTGGTCCGATCAGCCGGGCTATGGTGGACCAAGGTGGAGACCTAGCCTTTCTGTACTAGACTGCAGAAAGAGCTGAGCGAATATTTAAGTATACATATATAATTATGTGTATTTGATTGCGCGAAATTTTTGAGAAGGAAGACGAGAGTGCCTTCAAAAGGTCTCGATTAAGGCCCGCGTCCCTAGTTTTTGCCAGGACTAGGGACACCCAACGAGAAGCCGAAGGTTGTCTAGGACCAGGGAGAGGATGATTGGGGAGGTCTTTCGAACTTATGCTGTCAGCATCCTAATTTCTGGGCGGTGAGAGGCCCAGGTTAGACACCTGGCAGCATATAGTTGTGAAGGCATGGTTTGATGAAGGCCTCTACCCTGTGTTTGTCGGCTAATCGGATTGGCTCGTTTTCCATCAGCATTTGGAGTGTGGATTAATTTATAGCTTTCTGATTTGGCGAAGCGACGAGGACGTCGCTTAATATGGTCCGGTAAGTTGTCGGTGCGAATACCCTTACAAGGGTATCCGCCCTGTTTTTTGCAAGTTACAAAAAAAAATAGTTTTGGTTTAAAGTTTAAGTATACCGCGCTAAGCGCGACCGTGTCTGTAATTGCATTGACTAGGTGGTTGACCACAATAGCGAGTGCGTGGGCGCGCAGGTTTAGGGCGCGCGTGATCTTTTTCTGTTGTTGATCGTAAAGCCGGCCCGAACCTCGGTCGTTCTGCTTGGTGATATTATTATTATTTATTTATTAAGCAGAAATTAAGGATATTTTCCTTTGATTGGTCCTTTTGACCGAGCCGAGTGCACGTGCGGAGAACGATCCCGACGACGGCATCGGTGACGACGGCGCAACTTCGTGCTTTGGCCCGAAGCGCGGTACCGTGGGTGTAGCAGGCACGCAAGAGCCTAGCTCACTGGGTGCATCGTTGAACTGTTGAAATACTGATCGCGTTCAAACCCAGATGGTGGGCTTTGATGAGCAAAAACCGAATATTCCGATTTGACTGAGGGCCTGGAGCTACATCTTTATTAAGTGAAAAAGGCTTGCTGGTACCAGGCGTGGGCTTAGCCCTATAGGTTAGAGCATTGGACTGGTACGCAGCAGGCGTAGGGATCGAGGCCAATAGCATGCGGCTAAGGAGCGAAGGAGTACAACAGAAAGGCTTGAGGGGTTGATGGGCCTGTGGGACTATCCCCCTCGCCTTTTGCCGATGGACGTAATGATGGGCCCGACCCGCGGCACTGGCGAGGTGCCAGCAGCTCCCCTGTTCCTGTCTGAATATTTATCTTGCTTTATTTATTTTATTTGTTCTTTTTATCTTAGTTTTATTTTACTTTAATATTTTTATTTTTACTTTTTTCCACGGCTATTGCCGGCCCCGTCCTAATTTGGGACGCGATACCGTGTCAATGCCTGAGAAGCACTTAGAACCGGGGGGGGGAAGGTGGGAGGAAGGTAGTTTTGCATACGTTTGAAATGGTCAACCAAAGCCTGAGCATTGTTTCTACTGTGAATGGCTTAGGGTTATGTTTACTTGACTGTTTTCTAAAGGACCAGACATTGTTTCTACTGTGAATGGCCTTGTTGCTATGTTTTATTTAGTTGTTTTCTGGAGGACCAGGCATTGTTTCTACTGTGAATGGCTTGTTTACTCTAGTTAACTCTGAGGGTTTG